TCCCTCCCTTTTTGTTCTTTATTTCAGCTCTCTTTCTTCTTATGACATTTTTCTACTCATATTGTTTTCGACATTTCTAATTTATCTTCGCCTTGTTTTTTTTTGTTTTTGTTTTTTTAATTCTCTATTCCTGTTATTATCCTCATTCTTATAACTTGAAAAAAGTATTGCACCATAATCATAATCCCCATCATTATCATCATCATTGTCCTCCTCCTCCTCCTCCTCCTCCTCCCCCCCCCTCCTCCTCCCCCTCCTCCTCTTCCTCCTCCTCTTCCTCCTCCTCCTCCTTTTCCTCCTTTCCTCCTCCTCCTTCTCCTCCTCCTTCTCCTCCTCCCCCCTCCTCCTCCTCCCCCTCCTCCTCTTCCTCCTTTTCCTCCTTCCCGTTACCTCATCCCTCCTTCCCCTCCTCCTCCTCCTCTTCCTCCTCCTCCTCCTCCTCCTCCTCCTCCTCCTCCTCTTCCTCCTCCTCTTCCTCCTCCTTCTTCTCCTCCCCCTCCTCCTCCTCTTCTTCCTCCTCCTCCTTCTCCTCCTCCTCCTCCTCCTCCTCCTCCCCCTCCTCCTCTTCTTCCTCCTCCTCCTCCTTCTCCTGCTCCTCATCTTCCTCCTCCTTCTCCTCCTCCCCCTCCTCCTCCTCCTCCTCTTCCTCTTCCTCTTCTTCCTCCTCCTCCTTCTCCTCCTGCTCCTCATCTTCCTCCTCCTTCTCCTCCTCCCCCTCCCCCTCCCCCTCCCCCTTTTCCTCTTCCTCCTCTTCCTCCTCCACCTCCTCCTCTTCCTCTTCTGTCTTGTGCTTGATTCAATAGAAATTGGAATTTAAAAAAAAATGAAGGTAAACAGTAACTTCAAAAGTACGCAAGAAAGTTGGAAGAAAATGTGTGGCCTTTTCTGGAAGCATTTTTTCCGAAATTAGAAAAAAAAAAAAAATTATATTTGGTAAAAAAAATGTGTATTATCAATTAGTTTTATTTTTTGGTCTTTTTGCTAATACTATATTTTTGTGATTTAAGGATGTAATATACAGGGAAATAGTCTCATTATATTGCTCTTTCTCTCTGTCTCTGTCTCTTTGTCTCTCTTTCTCTCTGTCTCTGTCTGTCTGTCTCTCTCTCTCTCTCTCTCTCTCTCTCTCTCTCTCTCTCTCTCTCTCTCTCTCTCTCTCTCTCTCTCTCTCTCTCTCTCTCTCTCTCTCTCTCTCTCTCTCTCCCCGTTCACCTGCATTCCACTTATAACCCCCCCCCCTCCTTTCTTTCCCCTGCATTCCTTCCCCCACTTACCTCTTACCTCACCCCCCCCTCCCCCACCCACCCACCTTTCACCCCCCCCCCCCCACTTCCTTCCACCTCCACGCCCTCCAACATTAATCCCTTCACCTCCTTTCTCCCTTATCGTCTCTCTCTTTCTCTCTCTTTATGCTCATTCTCCCACATTCCCTCTCCTTCTACCCTAAATTTTCCTCTGATTGTCTCGCACTTTCTCTTTCTCTTTCTCTTTCTCTCTTTTTTCTCTTTTTTCTTTTTCTTTTTCTTTCTCTTTTCTCTTTTCTCGTTTCTCTTTTCTCTTTTCTCTTTCTTTTTTCTCGTTTCTCTCTCTCTTTCTCTTTTCTCGTTTCTCTCTCTCTTTCTCTTTTCTCGTTCCTCTCTCTCTTTCTCTTGTCTCGTTTCTCTCTCTCTTTCTCTTTTCTCGTTTCTCTCTCTCTTTCTCTTTTCTCGTTTCTCTCTCTCATTCTCATTCCTCGTTTCTCTCTCTCGTTCTCTTTTCTCTCTCTCTTTCTCTTTTTTCTCTCTCTTTCTTTCATACACACGCATTCTCTCTCTCTCTCTCTCTCTCTCTCTCTCTCTCTCTCTCTCTCTCTCTCTCTCTCTCTCTCTCTCTCTCTCTCTCTCTCTCTCTATCCACCTCTTTCACCTCTTCCTTCCACATACCCCCCTCTCCTCCGAACCCCCTACCTACCTCCCATCTCGGACCCCCCCCCCCCCCCATCGCTGCAGAAATCTTCTATCCTTATTACTGACTTTTCCCTGTTACGAGTGGCTTGCTCTGCATCTTCTCTCTTCCTTCTCCCTTTCCTCTCTCCATCTTTTCTCTTCTTCTTTTCTTCTCCTCTCTCCTCTCCTCTTCTTATCCTACCCTTTCCTCTTCCCCTCTCCCTTCTCTCCTTCTTCTCCTCCCCTCTTCTTCTTCTCTCCCTGCTCTTCTTCTTCTTCTGTCTTCCCTTTCTTCTCTCTCCCCTGCTTCCTTCTTCTATCTTCTCCTTCCACTCCTAACCTCCCTTTCTACTTCTCTTTCTTCTCTTTTCTTTTCTCTATCCTACTTTCTTGTTTCTTCTTATTCTTCCCTTTTTTCTTTTCTTTCTCTTCTCCACTACGTTTTCTTTTCCCTTCTTTACTTGACCCTTCCTTTCTTCTCCCCTTCTCTCCTCCTTCCCCTATTCCTTTTCCTCTCCTCTCTCCTATCTCCCTTCTTCCTCTTCCTTTCTTCTTCCCTCTTCCTACTCCTTCCCCATTCCCCTCCTCTATCTCCCCGCTTTCTCTGCTTTCCCCTTCCCTCCTCTTCCTTCCCCTCTCCTCTTCCCTATCTCTAATCTTGCTCTTCCTTTCTTCTCCTCCCTTCCTCCTCCTCCTCCCTACTACCTCCTCCTCCCTCCTTCCTCCTTTCCTCTCCCCTCTTCTTCTCCTCCCCCCTTCCTCCTCCTCCCCCCTTCCTCCTCCTCCTCCCCCTTCCTCCTTCTTTCCTCTCCCCTCTTCTTCTCCTCCTCCCTTCCTCCTCCTACTCCCTTCTTCCTCCTCCTCCTCCCTTCCTCCTCCTCCTCCTCCCTCCTCCCTTCTTCCTTCTCCCCCCCATCCTCCTCCTTTCCTCCTCTCCCCTCTTCTTCTCCTCTTTCCCCTCTCCTCGATTCCGCCGTCCAAGAGAAGTGTTAGACAGTATTTTTGAGTGTGGAACGAACGCCCGCGAAATCGAGAGGGGAAACACGCCCTTGTGACCAGGGAACATAAGGGTGCAAGCGTCCCTCTCTCGTTCCCACTCACTCTGGGATAGAGGAGGGAAGAGGGAGGAGGATGGGGAGGAGAGGGGGGGGTAGGGAAGTGGGGAGAGGGAAGGGAAGGAGGGAGAAGGAGGGGAGGAGGGGGGGAGGCAAGAAGGGAGGTGGGGAGACGAGGAGACGGACGAAGGGAAGGAGGGTGGAAGAGGGGAGGAGGAGGGAAGCAAGAAAGGTGGACGGGAAGAGGAGGGGAGGATGGAAGGACGGAGGGAGGGAGGGAGAAGGGGAGGAGGGAAGGATGAAGGGAGGGGTGAAAGAAGTTGTAGAGGGAGTGAAAGGAGGAAGGAAGAGGAAAGAGTGAAGATGGAGGAAGCTAGAAGGAGGAGGAAAGGAGGGACGAAAGACGCGGGAAAAGTAAGAGGGAGGATGGGAGGAAAGAGAAGAGAGAGAGAGAGAGAGAGAGAGAGAGAGAGAGAGAGAGAGAGAGAGAGAAGGAAAGAAGAAAGTGAGGGGAGAGAAGAGGGGAGAAGATGAAGAGTTGAGAGCGGAAGAGGGAAGAAGGAGGAAAGAGAAGAAACAAAGAAGAGATGGCAGCCGAGAAGAGAAAAGGAGGAAGGAAAAAAAAGAAGGGAGAAGAAAGAGAGGGGAGAAGAGAGAGGATGCAGGAACGGACAAAGAAAAAGACAGAAGAAGGGGAGAGGAGAAGGAAGAAGAAGAAAGAGAAGGGAAAATAGAGATGCAAGAACAAGGAGAGAATCATAAGGAAGGGAGAAAAAGGAGAGAAGAGAAGAGTGAAGATGCAAGAACGAACAAGGAGAGAGACAGAAGGAGGGAGACAAGAGGAAGAGGGGAGAAGGGGGGAAGGGGGGAGGAGGGGGAAGAGTGGAGAAGAGGAGGAGAGAGAGGAGGGGAAGAGAGGGAGGAGGGAGTAGAGGGGAAGAGAGGGAGGGGGGAAGGAGGGGAAGGAGGGGGAGGGAGGAGGGGGGAGAGGAGACAAGAGAAGGAGAGAGAAGAGGGGGAGGAGAGGGAGGGGGAGGAGGGGGAGGGAGGAAGGGGGAGAGGGGACAAGAGAAGGAGAGAGAAGAGGGGTGGAGAGGGAGGGGGGGGGGAGGGGTCTCGTTATCTGCCCTTAACAATAGGAACTGGCATGAGGAAACGATGCCGAGAGAGATATCGCCTTCTTGGTCATTACAGCTTGCAATTGTTGCTTTCTCGGTTGCAATATCGTAGAGTTGGCTTTTTTCGGACCGTTTTTTTTTTCTTTCTTTCTTTCTTTCTTTCTTTCTTTCTCTCTTTTTCGTTTTTTGTTTATTTTTTTCTGAGATTTTTGTTTATTTGAGTTTGTTTGTTTTTTTTGTCTTTCGGTTTCGTTTCCATTTTTTTTCTTTCTTTCTTTCTTTCTTTCTTTCTTTCTTTTTGTTTAAGATAATTTGTATTTTTTCTCAGTTTTTCGTGTTTTTTTCTCATTTCTTTTTTTAGGTTTGATTCAATACATGGAATTGTTTTTTTTTTTTTTGTTTTTGAATCAATACATGGAACTGTTTTTGTTTTGTTTTGGTTTTTGATTCAATACATGGGATTAATGTTGTTGTTTTTTGTTATTGTTTTTGTCATCTTTTGTTTTGTCTTTAAGGTGTATTTAGTATTTTCTTCGGATGAGGGGAACGAAAAGAGAGGGGAAAAAGGGGGGACATTTTTTTGTGATAATCAGAAAAACCCTAACATTTCCTAAGGCCAAAAAAGCAACACATTAAATAATACATATATACAATTTTCTTCCCCTTCTTTGGGGGGGGGAGGACATAAGGGGACCGTAACCCCCCTCTCCTTCCCCCTACTCCCCCTTTCTTCCCCCCCACTCCTCTAAGAAACGAAATCTGCGCCTCCCCCCCTTCCTCCTTCCCCCCCATCCCCCACCCCCCCAACACCAAGTTTCCGGCGGGTTGGAGGAGAGTCGAGTGCGGCAAAGTGTCAATAAAGCGCCTTCCCACCGCGCGCCATAAGGTCGATTTTCCCCTACTGCGTGAAGGGGAGCGTCGACCTTCTCGCCCGCTGTTGCGAGGGAGCGTGTAATAGCCAGGACGCCGTTGGGAGCATCGGTTGG